CTCCGTTGTGCCTCACCGGTTGCCCATTTAAGTGCAGCTGTATCATCATCATGCGGATTAGCCACCTTGGTAGTAAGACTTGTTGTATTACATCTACTACAAATTGCCTCGCAATTATTTCCACACCTCGAATGACAATAACTTTCGCGGTGTTCTACTTCTTCTTGACATTTAATACATCAATATCTTGCCATACTATTTAATATTTTTTAAAGCCCCAGAGGCTATTTTATTTAGTATTATTTTCATATCTATTTACTTTATATTAGAATTGTTATTATTATTTAACATTATATAAAAATGTGTGTATGATTTGCTAATTTTTCAAACAGTTTAGCCTCTGTTTACCAATTACTTTTTTCAAAGAAGTATTTTATACTTTCTTTTACTTTAATATTCTAATGGTGGAACTGGTAAAGAAATCCGCGGAAAGTCGCTGACTAGGCTTTTACAGAAAAGTCTGGCTAGTGCGAAAGGGAGAAGTTTTTTTGTTATCTAAATCCTTCATAGTTTAGCATAATTAACTATTACTCTAACTTCACCACAATAAGTTAGTAGACTAGATAACCATTCATCCATTAGGCAAATTAAGAAGCGGTGAACTTCTTTTATTGTTGTCTTGTTTTCTCCAACTTTATCATCTATAATATAGAAACTTTTTCACAAGTATTCTATATATTTAATTTTATTATATAAAGTTATTCAGGGAACCATTTCATTTTTTAGAAAAATACCAGTTATCCAAAAAAAACCTTTTAAAGAAAAAGCCTGATATTCAGCAATTATTTTCTTAATTATTCTTAAGAATAAAAAATAAATAAGAAAAATTTTCCTAACGTCTAGGAGGTAAAATTACTGAAATCTAGGACAATTATTTTTTAAAAAATGTCTATACTCCAAGGAATTAAAGAAAAATTTCTATTATATGCCAACCCTAAACCTAAAAAACATTACCATCCAAAAAAAACAAGGTTCTAATTTTAAAGATTATTACCTAATCATTGATAAAGATACTGATATTGCTTATTTCTGTTTTGCGGGAGCCTTAAAAAGTGGTTGAGAGGACTTAAATGATTACCAAGATATTAAAGAAGTAGAATTAGAATTTGAGACTAATGAACGAGGA